CAGAAGTCACACGACACCAGGTTAGAGTCCAACAGGTTTATTTGAAATCACAAGTTTTCAGAGCACAGCCCCTTCATCAGGTGCACCTGTGATTTCAAATAAACCTGTTGGACTGTAACCTGGTGTCGTGTGACTTCTGACTTTGTCCATCCCAGTCATACACTGGCACCTCCACATCATAACTTTAAATCCAGTATAAAGATCTTACAAACTAAGTGATAAAATAGTATAAATATTCATCTGACCTTACCTAACCAGCTGCTTCCTTTTTCTTTATTATTTCAAAATATAATATACTTTATTCATAAACATCTGTAAGTACATAGTTCTAAGTCGTATCTCTATTTTGTATAGAGAGAAAGAAATGAAATTTTGACATTTCTCAGCTTCTCTAGAGTTGTGGGGAAGAAAAGGCATTTCTGACTTATGCAAGAAACTATATTTACTTTTACTTTTTTATTTTGAGGCACCAAAAAGGTCTGATAACTGAATGAACCCTCGTTATACTTTGGCAGAAAGACCTCTAGACGGTGGTCTTCTTCCCACAATGTCTTGGTAGCAGCTGCACCAAGCTCTAGTACATTGTTCACCTGGGAGTGTGCCAAGTCTGCAGCACTTGGTCGTCTCTTTACGTTGGATGATCAACAAGTTTTGGACAGACGGAAGAGTGTCTTTCACAAGAGTTGATGGTCCTCCAGGTGCAGTTGATGTTTGTTTGTCATAGAATCCCTACAGTGTGGAAACAGGCCCTTTGGCCCAACAAGTCCACACTGATCCTCAGAACATCCCAGCCAGACCCACTACCCTATAAACCCACCTAATCTACACATCCCTGAACACTTCGGGAAATTTAACATGGCCAATTCACCTAGCCTGCACATCTTTGGACTGTGGAAGGAAACCGGAGCACACCCACACAGACACAGGGAGAATGTGCAAACTCCACAGTCGCCCGAGGGCGGAATCAAACCCGGGTCGCTGGTGCTGTGAGGCAGCAGTGCTAACCACTGAGCCACCGTGCCGCCCTCTTGTGTGTTCTGGGGAATGGACCATAGAGCACAGAGTCCTGCATAGCACAGCTGCTCGGGAGGAACATGCAGAAACAACTACATCTCATCTGCAGATCTTCTTTGCAAAGGCACTTTCCAGAAGGAGATGTATGACGGTCTTTTTTTCCAACCCAGCTGGTTCGGGACAGTGTGCAGTGATGCAGAGAGACCCAGGTGTGCATGAAGGATTTAACAGGCAATGCCCATCTCACCACCAGCCAAGCTATGTCTTGGTGCGTGTTGGAAAGTTGGCGATGAGGCACTTTGCCAAATGACTTTGACAGTCTGCTCAGAAAATCTCCTGATAGGATCCACCCACTCCTTTTCCCGCAGAATTTCAGATGTTACGTGCTGACCGTTGCCTGATAGACTTGTGTTTTTACTTTTCATATCACCTGTCCTTTGTGGAAAAATTTGCAATGGTCTAACTACTTGTAGCATTCCACAGCAACCTGGCCAGACCCATCCTTCGTAACAACTGGGACAGGTAGAACCTCATAGTGACACTAGGTGTTTGCGTAATGAGGGATTGTGCACAGCTTTATGCAACTGCACACAAAGGTGGCCATCTGGATGAAAACAGTGTTAGGTACATCCTCCCCACAAGCTCAATGCTCCCATTTGTCCAGTTTCTGACTCACTGTGGTGATATGCTCCTCCTAAGTTTTGGTGCACACCCCAGGACCTTCAGGTAATCTGTCCTCATGGTGAAAGGGGATTAAAAAAAATCAGTTGACCCCGTTCCCAAAGAGCATTGCCTTGCTCTTGCCTTGATTTACCCTGGCTCCCAAGGCCATTTCGAATTAGTTGCAGATGCTCATGAGTCTGCGCACTGACTGAGGATCCGAGCAGAAAATGGTGATGTCATCCGTGTACGGGGAGGCTTTGACCTGCAGGCCTCTGCAGCCTGGAATAGTCAATCCTCCCAGGCTTGTATCTTTCCTGATGGACTCAGCAAAAGGCTCTATGCAATGCACAAACGGGGCAGGAGAGAGTGGGCAGCCCTGCCTGACTCCAGATCTGATTGGGAAGCTTTCTGATTCTCACCAGTTGATTGAGACTGCACTAATGATGTTGGTGTAGAGCAGTCTGATCCAATTGCAGATTCCCTTTAAAGTTTTTGAGAAGATTTGCAGCTTGGGTTGTGGATGGGGTTGTAGACTTGCTAGCTGAGCCAGTGTGTTTGATTACAGATGTTTCGTCAACCTGCTAGGTAACATCATCAGTGCGCCTCCGGTGAAGTATTGGTGTGCTGTTTTGTCTGTTATTTATATGCCTCTGTTTGCTGGGATGGTTGGCATTACTTCCAGTTCTGTTTTTCAGTGGTTTGTGTATTGGGTCCAGTTCAATGTATTTGTTGATGAAGTTCCGGTTGGAATGCCAGGCCTCCAGGAATTCCCTGGCATGTCTGTTTGTGTCGTGCTATTATGGATGTGTTGTCCCAGTTGAGGGATATAAATAACAGGCGGAACAGAACACCAACGTTTCATCGGAGGCACACTGATGATGTTAGCTAGCAGGGTGACAAAACGTCTGAAATCAAACACACCCGCTCGGTGAGCAAGTCTACAACCTTGTGCAGATTCCCTCTCCAAAACCCATTTTGGAGAGCATGTCCCACATGTAGGTGTGTGATATCCTGTTAAAGGCCTTCTCCTGGTCCAGGCTGATGAGGCAGGCATCCACCCCCCTTGTCCTGCACCTTGGAGATCATGTCCCTGAGGAGGTGAAGCTCCGAGATCATCGTGCTTGATACAGCACAAGTTTGGTCGGGGTGAATCACTGATCTCAGAGCAGACCTGACATTGTTGACGATGACCTTAGACAGAATTTTATAATCCACATTCGACAATGAAATTGGTCACCAACTTCTAATTTCATCCCTCTTCCCCCTTCTGCTTTGTAGATGATGCTTTTTCTCAAGGATTCACTCATGCTACCAGCCAGAAGCATATTGTTGTACACCTCCTGCAGGTCCTGGCCAATCGAGTCCCACAGAGCTGAACACAACTCTGCCAGTAAGCCGTCACTTCTGGGAGTTTCGCCCTTCTCAAAGGACTCGGCCTTGTTCACCTCATCCAGAGATGATGGCTGGTCCAGCATCTCCCAAGTGTTATCGTTCAAGACCTCCGTGATAGAGGACAGGAATGTATGGGAGGCTGCGCTGTCAGTGGACTTTGTGTTATACGGTCTGGCATAAAGGGTCTTGCTGATCCTCAGGATGTCAGACTGAGATGGAGGCCTCTAAGTCAAAGAGCGAGGCTTGCTGTCTCTCCACCTCCCTGGAGATCCTCCTTGACACCTATGGTATGCCTGTATGTTTACTGTGGTGACAGTCAAACATTAATTAGTCTGTCTCGGTGCGATTGGAGGTAAGAAAGTGAAGTTGTATACAGGGATTCTGGAATGCATGTCCACAGATCCCTAAAGGTAACAGGACAAGTAAAAAATGCTTTCCTGTACTAACTGAGGCTGAACGAAAGGTGGATGGAATGTGATGAGAACAGTTCCTATAAGGGATGCTCTTTGTCTAGCAAGTAGCTATAATCATGGCACTAGTTAACTGCAACTGGAATACGTTATTTTTTTCTTCATTCTTTTATCATGGGTATCATCGGCAATATCAGCATTCGTTGTCTGTCTTTAATTGCCTTTCGACTTACCACTTGAATGCTATTAGTGAAACAAATGGGATCTCACAACAATTGATGATAATTATCATGATCACCAAGACTGGCTTTAAATTCCAGATTTTATTTCCTACCTGTTTATGATCAACATGTTCAAAGATGTTATGACCCACCTCTGGAGTAGGTCTTCCTGGTCCAGAGATGGAGGTCAGCACTGCTCTGCTACAAGAGACCTTAGCGCATTCCTAATTTATATTAACTAATCTTAAATACCTCAGCAGTGATGGGGTATGAATCCATGTTCTTTGGGCATTAGTCTGGGCCTGTGAATAACTGGACCAGTTATCATTGTCTCCCCTGAAAGAGTGAAAAATATAAACATTTCTCCAAAGCTGAAATACACTTTTTTGAAAAAAAAACTAATTTGTTTCAATCATTTGGAGAGGAACTTCTCTTGAAGATCATTATCATTGGATTTTTTTTTATCGTTGCTGGGGGGTGTGTGGAAATGTCAGAGGCCAGACCATCGAATACATTTAAGGGGATAAATTAGACAGGCTGTTGGTGTTGATTTCTAATCTGCAAGGAAATCGGGTTTATGGGGCCGGGTACGGGGAACCGGGGGGAGTAGCAGGGACAGTTGGTGGGGAGGGTCACTGTTGTTAAGACATTGTCTTTCAATCCATATTACTATCGTATCAGCCATAATTTTATTGATTGGTAGAGCAGGAGCAAGGGGCTAAATGACCACCTTCTAGTTCGTGTTATGGAGTAACACCAAAGAAGCTAAAGTTATTTATTTCTGATTCCCACATTAAATTTAAAACAAAAGGGCCCAATAGTTTTAACTTACATTTTCACCCAGGAAATTAGGAAGTCTGCTTTGTGGCTTGCAAACAGTTTCTGTTGCACGCAAATAAAACCCACCGATTTGTCGCCAGATTCTAACCACCATCAGGAAGGAGGAATTTTAGTTTTCATTTTATCTTTAAGGGCATCTTCCTTTTGAGGACAGCAGTTGTGGCTCTTGCCTTGCCACCTCCTAAATCCAGGCCACAATTCTTTCCCCTTGGAATGAAGAGCTTGATTTTTCTTTGATATATAATTGAAATGTTTTTCTTAAAACCTTAAAAATTGCACAATTATAGGTTAATTGCAAATTTTCCATGCATATCATTAAACTTTGTAGAAATTTTAACCTAAGGAATTTAGCAATTCTCCTACATTATTTAAATCAGCACAAAAAATGCAAGATTGTTCTTAAATGCACTGGTTTTTTGGTATTTGCAATTGACATTAATGTTAAATATCCATCCTTCAGGTGTACCTGGTTCAATGCCATCTGCAGGCTGGCAAGGAAATTTGCGTGCCGTAAAATGGAGTGATCAAAAGGGCCATGATGGTTGCCATGGTAACTTATTCTAAATTTAACTTTGACTCCTACTGCATATTATTTGGCTAGAATTTACCTGTATTTCCAATTTGTCGTATTGCATTATTGGTAATAGCAATTTAATCACACTCTTAATACTGAAGTGTGACTGCATCTGTTAGCTTTAATGAAACACTGCATATTATTATTTCTGTGATATTGTTCTTTGTTATGGAGTTGAAAGCAGCCTTTCAGTTTCAGTTGATCTGCATGTGGCACATTCCTGGTGCTTTCCCCATCTGTCGTCTCTCATGAGACGTGAAAAATTGACCAGATGAGCACCTGTATCAAGAACTTGCCAGAATTGTCTGAAATCGGCATTTGCATGGAAATTCTAATGCAGGTTCTGATGTGCAATCCATGTGATGTGTGCCTTGGTGTATTTGACTTTCCTACTTTTATCAGCATGAAATCTTTGATAAGGTTCTTGAATGAATGGCTTAGATTTCTTAATTTTGCAGTACAGGCAATTATTGTTAAATACATACTTCACCCATAGTACTTAACAACCAGGCTAACATGCTTGAATTCAACTACTGGACCTATGCCTCACCACCCACTTCACTTTCAACGGCCAAAAATATGAACAAATCAACAGGTCACCCATGGGATCACCTATCTCCGGACTCGCAGCAGAGGCAGTGATGCAAAGACTGGAAAGGATGGCCCTTCCACTAATCCAACCAAAACTATGGATACGCTCCGTGGACTACACCTTTGTCATCGTTAAACAGACCAAACTAGAGGAAACACACAAACTTATAAACAACACCCTCACTGGAAAAAAATTCACCAGAGAGGAGAAGAACAAACAGCTCCCATATCTGGGCATCATGGTATAGCGCAAGACAAATGGGGAACTCCAAATGAAAGTACACAGAAAAGCCACACACGGACCAAGTACTGAACTTCAACAGTAACCATCCCAACACAAACAAACGAAGCTGCGTGCAAACACTATTTAAACGGGCAACAGCACACTGCAGCAACACAGAACTATGCCAAGAGGAAGAAGAATACCTCTTCCAGGTTTTCAAGGATAACGGATATCCAAAAAACTGGGTCAGAAGATGCCTACATGAACAACATTAGGAAGATACTACACACCCCGACACACTCATCTCACTACCCTACATCATGAACATGTCAGAAATCACCACAAGACTCCTATGACTACTGGGCATCAGAGCGGCGCACAAGCCCACATCAACCCTACGACAACTGCTCACCCGAACAAAAGACCCACTCCCCGCCATGGACAGGACCAATGTCCTCTATAAGATCCCCTGCAGAGACTGAGAAACACTACATCGGACAAACGGGAAGGAAACTAAGAGTACACGAACACCAACTGGCTACAAAAAGACATGACCAATACTCCCTCATCTCAATCCACGTGGATAAGGAGGACCACCAATTCTACTGGGACAAGCTAAGCAGAGACCAGCATGGGAATTCCTAGAAGCCTGGTACTCCACAAAGAAAGCCATCAATAAACACAGAACTCGACCCCATATACACTCCACTACGAAGGAAAACCGGAAGTGAGGCAATCCAGCTTAATGGACTCCTGAGTTTAAAAACCAGGTGGGAAAATGCACCGGCGCTTCATCGGAGGCTGCACTGATGATGTTATCCAGCAGGGTAATGAAATGTCTGCAGAACAACAAGCCAGCTTGGCGAGCCAACCAACCTCAAGTAGTTTTTATTACTTGGAGTTAAAAAATAGGTTGGAAAAAATTTAAAGGGTTAACATTACAGTATGGTAGGAAATTGGAAATAGACACTAGTGTAGCAGCTCAGTGCAGGGCCTCTGCACGTGGTCTGACCACCTGTGCCAGATACCAGTCCGACAGCCATGCCGCTCTGCTGTAAGCCCCATTCTGTTCCATATGGGCGCTCGGCTGCTCTAAGGTAAATGGCAGGATTACCCCCTTACACCAGTCTATGTCCAGGACTCTCTGCCTGCGCGCTGCTCCAAGGCTCGCTGCTCGCAGTGTTCTGGGGCTCACCGGGCTTGCCTGCAGGTCCCAGTGTACAAGGCCACATTTCCCTGCGCTCGCTCCACCGCGGGACCCCAGTCCGTGCTCGCTCCGCGACTCTCCTCTCCAGGTGAGGAGGTGGGGAAGAAAGGGAAAGCTACAAAGAGGAGGGGAAAAATAAATGGAAAAGAAATAAAGAACCCGGCGAGTAGAGGAGCTCCAACAGGAGCATCCTACTCTGCCACCATCTTACTCAAGTTCTTGGTAAGTTAGCTAGTATAGTTTTAATTAGGATTGGGAAACTATTATAGAAAATTCTGAAGAAGTAATCTCCACTTGGAGAGGCAGGGTTTGATCAGGGGTAGTCAGAGTCCTAGAGATCTACAGCATAGAGAAAGGCCCTTCAGCTCATCATATACATGCCAAGCAAAAACAAGCACCAACTAATCTAAACAATAATCCAAAAGGCCTGCAGATGCTGGAAATCAGAAACAAAAGCAGAAATTGCTAGAAAAAGACTCAGCAGGGTCTGGAAAAATGTCACTGAACTCAATGTTAATTCTGCTTTCTCTCCACAGACACTGCCAGACCTGCAGAATTTGTCCTAATTAATCTAATCCCGTTTTCCAGGATTTAGCTCATAGCTTTTAAATGCCTTGGCATTACAAATGCATATCTAAGTACTACTTGAATGTTATGAGAGTTTCTGCCTCTACTACCCTTGCAGGCAGACAGTTCCAGATTCCCACCATCCTCTGGGTGAAAAAACGTTTTGCCTCCCACCTCTAAACCTCCAGTCCCACGCTTAAATGCATGTTCCTTGGTCATTGATCCTTCCATCATTGGGTAGTCAGGAATAAACTTTTCCCAATGTACTTTTTTTTTTTTTTTTTTAAACATCTCAATCATGGCCCTTCTTGATCTCCCTGCTGTAAGGAAAACAACCCTAGTCAGTCCCTGATCTATGTATATTTCCCGCAGATATGTTTGCTGTAGATCACCTTGGTGTCCAGCAGCTGATGCATGCTGTAGCAGCAACACATCACCTGTTCTGCCATCACTATCATATCTTGGTTAACTTCTTAATTACTCTAGTTGCCATGCTCTTTTCGCTTCATTGCAGTTGAATTGTTTTTACATCGTAAATAGCATGTTCAGTATAAAAATTAATTTTATGTAAAAAGAGAAGACCAATCAGAGACCCAAAAATAACCAAGACCATACTTTAATTAACACTAGGAATATTCACTAATCCTACTCTCTATTCGGCTGCTTTTCCTGTATTTGTTATGCTGTGGTTTGTGATGTCACTGCTGCTGGTTTCACTGCAGATCAGCCTCTCAATCCTTACCTTTATCCTTTCCTGCTTACCTCGGTGCTGGAGAGTTTATTTTTCACAGTAAACTTAGTTAAAGCATCTACATCCCCTCCACATCAAATTCCCACTCTGAAACACTCCTAGCTGTTCTCATTCAACCTTTATCTCAGTCAGACAAAGTTTCCACTCGCGTTAACCATTACTCCTCAGTGACCATGCTCTAGTAACTCTATGTACAGTGATCAGCACCTTATTTGGCAAGGTATTTCAGGTTCTTGAATACTAACACAGACACTCCTGCATTTGTTTCTTTAAACTGCAAACACTTAACACATGTATAACCTTGATTACATTGGTATCCTGGAGCTCCTGCATGCTACAGTTTTGACACTGCCTGTGCTGCTATTCTCAATGAATATTAAATTATTTATTTGGAGTATTCACTTATGTTGCTTTTTACGCATTATAACTCTAACACCAATGTGTACACTGTTTTAAACTTCAGGTTTAATAGGCTTTAACCAAAGGAGTCTCACTTAGGAGTCTTTGAGTCAATCCACATCCAACTATCTGTTCTGAAAACTCTGTTTACATTTTGAGAAATTCCATCACAGCAGCTGAGACAACCCACAACATCCTAAAACGATCATCATCACCTTTTTTAAATAAAGCAACCTAGGACAATTCCTTTTTGTTTTTACAAGAAAAATAAATAAATTTGCTCTACTTCCCCATGTAAGTGGATTATTCAAAAAAGTCTTGGGTTCCAGATATGTATCCCAAATTTCACTAAAGGTCACATCCAATCTGTGTACTAAATTTTGGTGAAATGTATTAGTCCTCTTGAGAGATAGAGGGAGGGAGTGTGTTTACAAAGAGTAAATCAGGATTAAACATTAATTCCTCCTTCAATGGTGGAGGCAATAAGGAGCAATTATCAGAACTATTCACTCTTTGAACAACATTCTCTCAAATTTCCCTACAACATTCTGATCCCAGCACCTCTCACCTCTCCAATTTGTCAGGTCCAAATCATGGGTGGATTGCAGGGAATTGAATAAATAATCTACACCCTCTCCTCTGTACAGTTCTGAGTGAGCGCCTGTGGTTATTTTTTTGAGATCATGCTCTGCTGGATGTGAAGGATCCTATGAATGAATTTAGAGTGGGCGAGTTCTCCCCAGTACTCAAAGTTCAATCCTTATCTAACATCACTTTTTAACTAATCATCCAGTCATATCTCATTGTTACTTTTGGCACCTGCCTTTGGCCAATTAGATGATGCATTTTCTGTCAACGTTGACTACACTTCAAAAGGCAATGCTATTTTACTGTACATTAGCTTATCCTGTAGCAATGGAAAGTATTAAATTGGCTTTTGAGCATTGTGGGATTTCCTGAGGATGCGGACGTGCGATTAAATGTTTGTTCACTATTAATGTCGGATAAATGTAGGATTTGTCATTGGAAAAGAACTACTTCCAAATGATACATGACATTTTGTCCAAAATATGGCTAATCCATCATTTAGTGTTCTTTACCTTGTCCCAATGACTTCTGAATAGTTATTGTTGCTTCATTCAATTTATGGTGTTGTAAATAGGACCATAGGAGCAAGAATATCATGTTTGGCCCCTTGAGCCTGCTCCATCTTTCAGCTAGGTCATGGCTTGTCTTCT